CAAAGCGATACTAAGCCTTTGTTCCATTTTAATATCACGATCCCACATCACAGATGTGCTACTCGTGAGCATACCATCTCCTTGCAAAAAAGGAGGAACATCCACTTTCTCCTTTGCTTTCTTTGCAGGTACTCTCTTCAGTACATGGAGCAAGGAAATAGAAAGAAGCTGTGGTGCTTTACCGGGGAAAAATCACCCATGCTGTCACAGCAAGGCAGGTGACTAACCTGGGTATCAGGGCCCTATAACGGTTAAGACATCATAGAAAAAAATTATAATCTTTTCTAGCAGCATACTCTACTGGAATCCTATTGAGAGCTCTCCCAGTTGTGTTCATTAGCATAGATTCAGTGGTAGTTGAGCTTGTTACAAAAAGAAGATGCTATTTTTAGTGAAAGGAAAATAAATGCAGACTGTCAGTTTCACCAAATCTGGACTATAAATGGCGTGTCATATTTTGGTCTTTTGCTGGGACAGATTTTTATCTGTCCCATTTAAACATTGCTTCTGAACAACACTGCCAAAAATCAGAAGAAACCACAAGTTGTGCAACACAGTGAAGTTCCCAATTTTGAAAATGCTCTCAACTGCTCACATCTGTAATGAGGTTTAATAAAGTATTTTATTTTTTTGCCACAAAAATTATTTGAAGATCTATTAGCATTTCTACAAAGGCAGTCACAGTTAATTATACATATCATAAGTATTTTAAAAGCAGATTTCCATTCCTTATTTTACAGCAGACATTTTATAAGCACAGGAAGTGGTGCTTAGTGAATAATAGCTGTCTGGGGAATGCTGTGTGTCTGTCAAATCACCATGATTCTGGTTGCGAATGAACAGTTTTCTCTCAATCCAACTGTCATATTCTCAATTTATTTTTATATAAGGTAGATGCATTTTCAGAAAGAGCAGAGTCACACAAAACGTTTCTCTAAAGGTATACTGCTGGCTTATATTCTTTCAGTTTTTCTTTTCTAATGATTAAAATAAAGCTGACAATAAATAGATATCATTTGGTTTTCTGAATGCAGTTCTGTCACTATCCAAAAATACGACACTGTTTGTTTCTAATATAGCTACTTCTAAAATAATACATTTTTCAAAGGAAGGAAGGATTTTATTGCATTGTTTTTTCTTACCTTTTATGTGCTTCTGTCAGTGACTTCTCTTCATTTTCTTGGTCTATTTTAGCTGTAAAAATACAGGAAAAGAATTTGCTACTAGGTCAAAGATACAGATGCTCTTTTATGATAATGTTCACTGTAAATATGTCATGAGTCTTGCATCCATTAATACATCAAAAACACCTGAAGATGTACTCATTTACATCAATTCTGAGAAAACGATCTGAATTATATGCCCATTAAAAAAAAACTTACAGCAAATTTTAAGAAAAATAAAATTAAGAATTCCCCCAGTAACATAAACAACAGCAACCAACTCATGAAAATGACTTTAAAATATGTATCTAAAAAAATGACTATGAAAACTTGATGGATATAGGAATTTGTCTGCCAAGAGGAGGAGGAAAATCTGAACGAAAAGTAGGAAGGTTCAGCCTCCCACCTGTTCTAAAAGTTGCTTGACAGTTACAAATAAAAGCTCTCCCCCACAAAATAGCTTAGTTTAGGAATGGGCATGCCTAAACAAGAAAGATTCAGGAGGTATTAATTATTCGAGTACTAGAACCACTGTGCACACAGTTTGAAAACATAACTTTTTTTATACATTCAAAGGAAACCATCATCTCATGAAGAAGATTCAAAATACTCAACTGCTATGCCACATACTGGTCAAAAATGATCTATTTTCCACATATTTTCTTACATTTTATTTTGTACCCATTTTACTTGATTTAGATGGGAATTGTGGTATACAAATTGTACAAGGATGCGCACGTTAACTCAGGCATCACCTACATGCAAAGTGATAGCACAAACTGGCTGTGCATGTGTTCTTAGCTAAGACTTATACTTGCATATACACTGTAGACATTCACATAGCATACCTAAAGTCCCATTTATGATCTGCATGTTTTAGCCAAAAACTTTTTAGTTTGGAACTTGATTCCCCCTTTGGTCTGTTAAGAGTACTGGCCTGCTAACTTTTAAGGAAAAGTTTAGAATTCACTTCCAGGGAGTCAGTGGACTTTGGGGCATGCAGAAGCTCTGAATTTTCCTGAAGACAAATGCCAGTTCCACAGAATTTATATGAAAAACTGAAAAACAAGTACAAACTTTTAAACTACCCATTCTTCGTCCTACTTTCTTACATAGCTCTACAATAATAATACAAATTATTTTTCCACTTTGCAGATGCACCTTTGAAATAGAAAGCCCTGAATTTAAATTTGGCTCAAGTGAGAATAACAATGGAATTATTAGGGAACAAAAATAATCAATATTTTTCTGTTATGAAGTTTCAATCAAAAGCGCTTTGCAAACATACACTAACACTAAAATAGACATGGGAAACCCGTAGCAAAGATTCATAAATGGAGTTTCTTTTTTTTTTTTTTTTTTCCCTATTCAGAACAAGGATCAGAATCAGGGCTCAGACCCTGCAAACACTTGCTACTATTTGTACGTAGTCTTCTGAGTAGGGTGAGCAGGGCCCGGATTACTCACAACAGCAAACGTTGCATCTAGTAATCATTATCTGAAGCCTCAAACTCCAACATTGCTTTGCTTAAAACAAAAAAATCCCAGCAAACCACAGGAAACTTGAGGGAGAGCTGGGTAACTGTTCTCAAGGAACTCAAGAGCACGTGAAGGCTGCCTGATTACGGGTTTCATCACCAGCTTGAAACTCAGCCCAGATTCTTCAAAAGGTCTGTGAGGGCTCACAACCCTTCTGAGTGAACCTGGGCCCAGTGTTGAGTGAATCTGGGTTGACTTATAGTTTTGAAAGCCTTCTGCCTTCCTTTGGATATGAAACCAGGTGAAAACTGGCAGCTTTGATAGAGTTTCTTTTTTTTTTTTTTCCTCCATGCTTCAAGCCTGGAAGTGAAGGTATTATTTGCTGTAAAATTGTGTGGTGCAAGAGAGAAGAGACTTCACACAAAATCCCTGGACTCAAGGAGCTCTCATAGCTTATTCTAGGCTAACGCTTTCACTAAGCATCTTCAGATACAATTCCTAAAATAAATAATTCTATTACTGAAACATTTAACTTGGACTTCTCTCAGTTAAACAGTTTTTGGAAAGGGAAGATAGCATGCTCTATCTTAGGATAGTTTTTTAGTATACATATCATATTTGTAGGATATAATACTTTTCATCGTTTCCAAGACTGATGGGTCATAGTAGCAGCATCTGAGCTACTGATGGGTCATAGTAGCAGCATCTGGCTAGTTCCACTCCCCTTAAGCATGTGTAGAATGGAGGGAGGTTGAACAACAATGGGGAAAATATTCCCTAATTCATTTTTAGAAAGAGTGCAAGCACAACAAATTATACCTTGCTCTTAAAAGGAGAGTTTAAAATGCCTCCACTCTGGAGCAACTTTGGTTTCAATTCTAGTTGAAAAAGGAAAGTTATTATTGATGGTACACAGAGGAAATTAAAAAAATACTTCAAGTATCTGTACTTTTAATCATTTCATAGAGAAAGGGATATTCACAAATAAAAGAATCCTGAAAATCCCTGAATGATGCAGATGCATGTAATTGTTTTTTTTTAAAGTAATACATACTTACATGTATGGCAGCTAATATACCCTCATAGAGAGATTTCATCCTGCATCAGATCATCCCTTGGCATTAGCAGAGTTTTTCAGGAAAGAATTTACTCTAAAAGAGAATTGCCTTTTAGACTGTTCCAAATACATGATGACTCTTCTAAACCTTTTGCACATTTTCAAAAAGATATTATTCAGGTGAGAATCTGACCTGCAATCCATTTACTGTCTTATTTTTCTAGATACAAAATGTTACAGAACAGCCCTAAAATGATTCCATTTTAACAAGATGACTGTTGTTACCAGTGAAAGAGAAGAAAATATAGTATACTCAGGGAGCGGCATCCTAGTCTAAAGTAAATATTCAGAAGACTGTTTTGCACTAGCACTACAGTAAACATCTAAAAATTATACATAGTGGCTAGTCAAAGACAGACATTAACCATCAGATGCTGAAGCAATATGAAATTCCTACACTTTCTGGAATTGAGCTCCAATATGCTCATCTGATACTAGGGATTATCATTATTCCACTCTGTACTAATCTTCCTGCTCAAAAAAAACCCATGGTTCTGCTAAGGTAGGGAAAAATAAATCCAGAGTTAAGAATGCAGTAGAAGGATACAGCTTCCAAAAATCTCCAAACCTTTCTGAATATTAAAATTATGATGATAGATTCAGTTGAAGAGTCCCACAGTATGTTAGAGTTTACTGTTTCATTCAGCATAATGTATCTCTACTCTCATTTCTGCCTCTAAAGCAGTTCATCACAGTTAGTAGGGAGAACGCCTGAAAGGCACCAGTTTGACATTCTTCCTTCTTGGCAAGCCTATACCAATTAAGTCCTGAAAACAAGCTGAAAGGCGTCCATGAGGAGATAAGCGTGCTGAGAGAAAACTGTATTTCTTTTTACAGAAGAAAACTCCTCCAAGAGGTGAAGCAAACTAGAGAAAATTCCTACTCATTTCATAGCAATCCTACGGAATCTGCAGAAACACGGCAATGGCTGGAGCAGGCAAATCAGTCCTTTGCAGGTGTACAGTGGCATCTGAGCACTCCAGGTGCTTAGCTCTGCCACTAAAAATTCTGTCTCTCTGTCCTCAGAAAACAAGATTAGTTCAGAAAATTTTAGCGCTTCCCTCTGAAACGGATTAAAAGAAGTCTTGTAGTGATCCAGGACATCTGCTTTTGTATGTATTCAGAATCCTTCAGATAACTATAGTAATGATTGTTTGTAGGCTCCCATAGTAGATATAGGAGCTTCTGTTCTTGGGTCAGTGCTCTATCCCAACTGAAAATATTACATATTTTATTAACTCATCATCTTCTCTCTGATCTCCTGCTTGGAGTAGTTTTTTTTAATCCTTGACACTAATTTACTAAACAGCCTCTAAAGATACTGTTCCAACTCTATTAAAGAATATATCATACCAGGGAATAGTAGTCCCTCTATTTTATGCAATGCAGCAGGGAGTAGAAATAAAACTTAGTTTTATATCTCTGCTTGCATTCTTTCAATATCTTGTAAGGCTTTATACGCAGCTCTCATAATCCTAAAAGCATACATATTCTGTAAAATATATTAAAAAGGATATATTTGAAAAATAACCCTAGGCCATTTTGAAAAGCATTACCATATTAAATAAAGAACATTTTAGAGGAAAGTGACCTATCATGGAGCAAGCAAGAGGAGCTGCCGTAATCTAGTATCTACTATGTACACTGAATTAATTATCTAATTTGCTTTTCAATACTTCTTTTGAAATGCCTTAATGCCTTCTTGCACGATGTTGTTCCACTGTTTGTGTGCTTTTTCCATTAAGATACCTTCATGTTATTTAATGTTTGTCTCCCTTTAGAGCAAGGCCTATACTTCCTAAACACTTTATATATTTGGTCAAAATTCAAGTACATTCCTTCCTCCCTATGTCATTCTTTCCCAAGAACTAGGATTGTACTGTATCCCAGACTCTTCAGTCAAATCTTTTAACTACAGGGTATATATATTCCATTAAAATACACTCACATTAGATCTTCTAAATGTCTATCTTACTGCTTTTTGTAGCTTCTTTAATTTACTGTGATATTTTATAACTGAGGCATAAAACTTGACTTCAAGAAATTCAGAATGATCCTTCTAACAAGGCCTCACAAAGTCTAATTAATTTAAGTTAATTCACAAAAGCTCTGTTGTTATCAGTATATAGTCACATTCCAGAATTATAAATGCCTTTGTTTTATGTTTGCTCTTCCAGTTCTTTTATATTCCAATCCTGCAAAGATTACCTATAAACTTCTGCAAAGGCACATGTATGAATAGACATACTGAAATCACACAGACATTTAAGAAAATATTAAGCATCTCAAATAACTGAATCTGAGCTGTATACACAGGCATCCTAGAAAATGATTGTGTTTAGTCAAATAGTATCATTCACTTTTCTGCAAATGTGGTTTGTTTTTTTTTTTAAAGAAGCCTAGAAGATAAAATTAAACAAAGTGGGATTCGAAGA